CTCTCGGTTCTCTATGGGTTCATTCTCTGCTTCCTTTTTTCAGGCCTTTCAGAGGCACCAACCAACTGATTAAATGACAACACAGGTGCAGTCAGCAAAATCCAGACTCTGGACTATTCTACAGGACAAATGTCCTGGTGGTTTGACAAAAACCTGCAAGAAACAAAAATAAAAAGAGGAAATGGTTGTGGAACCTATAGACTAAGAAAGACTTGTTTGAATCAGAGTCTAAATAAGATGCACTCCAGACCAGGAAGCAAAGCTTGCCTGCCTGTGGGGAGATTAGAATCCTGATGGGCAATTCGAGCATATTAATTTCTTGTCAATGTTTGATGAAGTGATTATGGCTTTAGGGTTATGTTTTGTAAAAAGTCTTTCTCTTTTAGAGTTAAAATAAAGGACACATTTCCACTTCACACTCCGCCCTTCTCACCCTCACTAGGAGACTTACCAGTATGGAGCCCCCAGTGTTGTACTTTTTTGAATTTTGAGCAGAAGTTTCATATAGACAAGTATTTTGTCTCATTCATAGCAGTTCATGTTAATGCCAGGCACACAGAAGCTGCCTGATAAATATGTGTTGAATGGATGCATGAAGGATTTGAGTGGGTTCGGGTTCTTCTGCAAATAAAACATCAACGATTGAGAAGCGGAGAGGAACAGTGAGGCCCAGGTGTCTGAAACCAGAGCAATGGGCTCTTTGCGTTCTTAGCAGCAGGAACCCCAGGGGAGCACGGACAAAAGCCTGACTGCAGAATTTGAGGTGTTCTCATTCTTGCTCACTCTGTCCTCTCAGGCGTATCCTTAACATCGCTGAGCCTCACTCTTAGCGCCTATAAAAGGGGCCCAATCATGCAGCTTCCCTCAGGGTTACTGAGAGAAGTGAAGGAGAATTCATATGGGTTGCACCTGAGGACCTTTTATAAGCCCCACCCCATCCCAGTCATTCTAAGCACTTGTTTCGGGGACCTCCCTCTGAGTAATGGTATGGATTCAATTCACTCTGTGCAAAGAGAAAATTCTGAGGTTGTGTCTAAAACAAACATTGCTAATAAACTTTGAAAATGCTGAGGGAAGGGACCTCACTGGAGAGGACAGACCTGTCTCAAGGGTTGGGATGGGCTGCTGTGTCCTCACTGAGCCCCAGGTGCACCCTCCATAGAGGTGGGGATGCTCTTATGAGGGAGACACGGAGGCCTGAGGCTGGCTGGGTGCACCTTGTCATTGGCACAGCCAGAATTAGGACCTCAGACCATGTGGCCCCAGAAACTGGGTCCTTAACCTGTTTGCTACATGGCCCTGAGGGCAAGAGGACCATTAGCATCCTCTGCTAACAGTGCAGTGTTTGGGTTGAAGCGGTGTTGGAACCGTCAGTCTTGATTTAGCACGTGGACTGATTGAACGTGGGGAAAGGGTAGGTGTGGAGCACCGCAGAGATGACCACAGACTTAGAGATGATGGGAGGTGTGAGGCTTGGCCCAGCTGCCAACTGCCATTGGTCCACAGGGCGGAACCGGCCAGGCCGGTCTTTATATTACAAATCAGCTCAGCTAACAGCCCTTGGTCTGAGCTGCTTATAAATCAGAGACCGACTGCTTTCAGCTTTCTCCTTGTTTGTTTCTTTTCCTCCTTGGTTATAGGTGTTAAGAGGTGGTGGAATAGCACAAAATAAGAAAAGGATGGCTGATCCTCAGTCTGGAAATTCAACAGCAGCTGGTGCAGGTCAGAAGGGGCCTGCCCTGGTGAGTCCACACATCCTGAGGGGCTTCGGATGAGGTTACAGGAGTTCTGCTTTCCTTCCATTTTCTAACCACTTCCCCTCTTCCTCACTCGTTATTAAATTTATTAGGGCTCTTTCCAGTATGTTCTAAACAACTCTGTTTCTGCTTTGGCTATGACTTCTGAAAAAACAGAAGTAAATTTCCAAATAACTGCTGATGGCTCTGAGCCTGCACTCTGGGCCCACCCCTCGGAAGAGTCACTGAGTCATCCCTAATAGGAAGGACCCTTCTTCCTATGACAACCTGAAGATCTGTATCCACATTTCTTATCTTCTCCCTCTCACGCTGGCCATCCCACCTCTCAGCCTGCTGTACGCTGTCAGCTCCTGTAGCTAGATTCCTGTTCATTCATGCAGTCTTTGCTGCGGACAGATGCACTTTGCTATGTCAGCTTCCCCTCATTCCCAGGCAAGCAGATATGACCCAATGGTTTCCTGTCACCATCATTGACTGAGGGCTTCTTTGACTGTCCACAACAGTTCAGCCCCTGGCATAGGACAAGCCAGGAGTTCCAGAGTATCAATGCCCGCCCCCCCCCCCAAATCCCCAGCATCCTTCATCCAATGCCTGGTGGGAGTTGGACAAATGCTCAGCTCCCCTGTTCCTCTACTGGGGTAACCCTAGGTATGTTCTATGCCATGTGCTAACCTCCACATGACACTCACGGGCTTGCTCTGTTTGGTTCCTTCTCTTCCCTGACTCATCTTCCCTTCCTCATGGGCACCTCCCAAATGAACTACTTGCACCTGTATTCTGGGCCAACCTTTCAGATGATTAGCACACATTTATGGGATACCCTGTACCTGCTTGACCCTCTCTGAGGCAGTGGATGCTGACAGCTAGCAGACAGGCCTAAACGCAGACATCACAGAGACTGTAGTCTCAGTGCTTCAGAAACACTATCACCAAATTTGCTAACTCATTCAGAAGGCAGTTGTTTTTCTACCACGTGGCAAGCTGTGAGCCAGGCTCTGGTGATATGAGATGTACACATTTAGTGGGGCATTCATGTTAGTGTAACAATCAAATGGCTAAGAACGCATGTCAGTTTGAAGGGTGATACTGAGTGCAATGTGCTACTTCAGATTGGGTGCTCAGCGAAAGTGATGTTTAGACTGAACTATGAATTACAAGAAGGGCTCAGGTGGATAAAGCTAAGACAGAATGTGATCACATGGAGAGGTTAAAAACAAAAGCAAAAGCACTCTCAGAGTATTAATAATGAGGTGGCTTTCTATTCACAGATCAGTGACTAAGGGTAGTGGCTGGTACAGAATGCAGGCTAAAACATGGGAACCAGCCCTGTAAGACTTCTCTGAGGAAATAAGAGGGACACACAAATCTGAAGGATCATAAGTAGAGTAGAAGACAGGGAAGGAAAAGAGCCTTTCAGACCTCCAGATGGTGAGAATGGCATGTGCAAAGGACCTGAGGCTAGAGATAGCTTAATGTCTTCAGCATGGTTGAACAGGAAATTTGGGGTAGAGAGGCCAAGGTGAGGCTGGAGCAATAGTATGATAAGGAAATATCCCTGTCACACTGGCTGAAGTGTGACACACCCTGTCACACTCGGCCATGTGGCTTGATTTTGTCAATGGAATGTGAAAAATCATGACATAAGCAGAGGCTGGAAGTATATTTGAGCAGTTGTATTGGCCTCCAGCATTCCTGGATAGCAAAAGTCTTTCCAGACTTGTGTGAAAAGTCCTTCTACCTGCTGAAGTTGGTTCATTGGTTTGGGAGGCCACTTCCATGCAGTCAATCTGTAAAGGTGATCTGGAAAAGGATGGATGGATGATTGATAGGAAGTTGAAAGTTGCTTTTTTTGATAAAAGAGAGGAGCCAAGCTTCTGGGACAAAGCTTTTATATAACACAAATCCTGAGTTAGTCTTCTTTATCTGTCCTTGCACATTCCCAGTTAAAATGACTGTCATGTTTGTGCATGGTCTAGGATGTTTGTTTAGTGGGAGGTGAGGTCAAACTCTCATTTCCAGAGTGGACTCCTTGTGGATGAAGATTTATGGGTGGAGAGAAGTGAAGGTAAACATCCTGATAGATATGTAGAGAAAAACAGCCAAGCTGAGGCATACAAAGCTGAAAAAAAATTTTTTTAAGTCTTTTAGCACAATGGTGGAAGACTAACCAGCATCCCAGTTCCTCCCAAAGGGTCTATAGCCTCTTAGGATGCAAGTTCCCAGCAGGAAGCGTGGTCCTGGAATGGGAGCACCTGTTCTATGGGGAAGAACAGGAATTTTCAGTGTGGGGAGGAGCCAAGGGGAGAGAGAGTGGATAGCGTAGGAGTCATTGAATGGGTGTCTAGGAGAGCAGTATAAGACGAACATCAACAAATTCCACCTCAGTCTGGGCTGGCAGAGGTGGGAATGGGACCAGAGGGGGTTGTGTTCATAAGCCAGGGCTCCTATGGGGACATTTCAGCAAAAGTTACAGCCTTCACTTATCATCTCTTAGAAGAATTAGGTTTCCTTATCATTTTAGAAGAACGCTTCTAGAGTCCATTGACAGCAACTGAAATAGTAGCGGCATCCAATGTTTGCTGAAATCCTGCTTTCATTGCGGCCCAGAACATTGGGTCTAGAATGGACTCTTGGAGTTAGTTCTATGAAGTTAAGTCATAGTTGGCCCTTGGCCAGGAGAAAGAGGGGGAGGAGAGAGAGAGACAGAGAGTCGGAGGAGAGGAGGAGGAGGAGGATGAAGAGGAGGGGGGAGGGGAATGGGAAGGGGGAGGAACGGAGGAGGACGAGAGGGAATGAGAATGAACGAAGCTGGTGGAAAAAACCTCATGACACACTTGGATGGAAAATCTCTTCCCACGCACTTACACAGGTACAGGAGTCTCACCAGGACCGCCAAGAAAGTCCTGAGGTTTGATTCCCACTTAACTTCATAGAACTAACTCCAGGAGTCCGTTCTAGACCCAATGTTCTGGGCCGCAATGAAAGCAGGATTTCTGCAAACACTGGATGCCGCTACCATGTCAGTTGCTGTCAATGGACTCTAGAAGCGTTCTTCTAAAATGATAAGGAAACCTAATTCTTCTAAGAGATGATAAGTGAAGGCTGTAACTTTTGGAGAAGGGTCTTCTGATTCTTTTTCTGTTGCCATTTAGAACCAGGGCATCTCCAAAAGCTGGGTCCCCACTTTATGTCTCCAGGGCAACCCCAACTCATGGTGTTGTTTTCATTGTGGAATTAGAGAATCCTGAGGCTCAGGAGTTCTGTGACTCGGGTAAGTTGCATAGGCTTGTGTGCTCAGCTTGGCACAAGTTCAGAGCAATAATCAATAACTCCTTTTATTCATGCAACAAATATTTATTGATTGCCGACTGTGTGCCAGTCATAGTCTGCTAGGCAAGAACAATGCTTCCCAACATTTTCGATGCCACACCACATAGTGCAAGTGATAGTCTTCTATGACATAACTTTGAGATGCAGAATCTCTGTTTCCTTTCTCAGCTTTACCAAAAACCCTCTTCTGTCATCCTCATTTGGTGCAGACCATAGTGCCGAAAGAGGTTGTGGGAGTTATTAATGTGCTAGAGCCTATAAAGGTGGCAGACATGTTCAGAGCGAAAAATCTGAAGTAACCTGAATGCTCCCTTTAACAAAAGCAGATCTTGAGACAAACATTTGAGTATAATTGATTTTTTGGAGGGAGGTGTAAACAGCCCTGGAAGGGGATAGAGGCGTGATGCAGAGAACAGGCAGCCAATAAAAGATGTGTTTTTAAGCCACTTACCACTGTGGGCTCCTGGAGCTTACTTCCACAGGGAAAACTCGGAAAACCAGTGCAGAGAGCACAGCTTAGATTTGTCCCCCCAGAGGGCAAGGGAGCTGGGGTATTTATACACCAAGTCCTGCAGTTATTGGCTGAGCTGTTTCTGGCAGGTGTTAATCCTTCAGCACTTCCCTGCCACATTCCTGGCCTGTGTGGCATTCTGTAGTTCTGGAACAAGACTTCCGACACAGAAATGCAGATGCCGACCGTGGCATTTGGCCAAAGCACATGGAAATGTTTGGGTCACGGATGGATCACTGGTAGAGGCTCTGGACCCATCAAGAAGGGGAGGGGTAAAATACTTTATAACGAAAGGATAATGTAGATCTCTATGCACTGACATAGAAGTGCTCAGCTATATAATGGCTAGTGGACAGAAGCAGCACACAGAACATCACATGGAGTTAGACCCTTTGGGCAAATGACATTTCCATGTGTATAAAGAATAAGCCAGGGCTAGGCTAAAGCAAAATTTCGCTTTCTTTGGGTACAGAGTCTATGGGGTACCAAAGAATTCAGTAATCAAATAACATTTCAGTGTGATATTTTAAAAATGTCAACATTAGTACAGAAATTCTATAATGAACCAAATATCAAAATTGTACATAAAAATTCTATGATGAACAAAAATTCCAGTAAGGATCTGACCCCTTATTGCACAGCTCAGCCTCATCTGCCTCATCCTAATCCTAGCCATGTTGGATTCTGGCTCCTTAAAATTTCTGGACTTGAGCTGGAGAGGCCTTTGGGCAGACACCCGGTCTCTCTCTGCTCCTGCCCTCTAAGCGGCTCGTGCCTCCCACGTCCAGTTGTGGCCACCACTGATGTTACAGCCTGAGAAACCCAACCTATAGGTGGCAACCCCTCTGCCTGTTTCATCTGCTTCTCCCCCTCCTTGTCACCCCGGGATGACCAGGCAGAAAAACTGAAGAGTGAGGAATGCACACGAGAGAGAGCAAAGCTCAGGCCCAGTGCACTTCCCTCAGAAACAGCCTGGGCTTGTGGGCTACAAGGGCCTTGCCAGAGCAGACCAACAAAAGCCCTAGCAACTGAGGCGTTTGTCTTCCCGCCTGCTCAGCAATGGCCAGTGAGCTGCACATGTTATTTCACGGTCCTCTGGGGTGACAACCTTGGGTCAAGCCGACCTGGCCAGGCTCTGGTTGGAGCTGAGTGCCAAGTAATCAAAGCCAGCTTGTTGAAAGCAAGCCATCCTGACCCTTCTCTCCCAGACAGAATCGGACCAGAGCCAAGAGATTTCTGCTCCAGCGCATCCAGGAGTCTGCTGCTGCGAGCTTGTGCTAGCCCCTTGCCAAGTGGGATTCATTCTCAATTAATCAGAGACCAAAGACCTGGTTTTTGCATCTCCTTCCCATCGCTTAGGGTCGTGCCCACCACTCACACCTGGGGATCCCTGGAGCTGGACTTCCTTCAGGTCTTTGAAGGCAGTGAACAGAGAGATCAAAGTGCTTGACCAGGAGTATAAACTGAAGGACAGAATGCAATTCTATTTCACTCAAAGATTACAACAATGCCAAGCAGTGTTTTATTTGGGAAATGTTGGCCTACACTAGTGCGAACAAAATAATGTTTCCGTCTTGACTGAGTCATTTGGCCAAAGTATTAATTTCACAGCCAACATGCAGATGGACATGCATGACCTTCAGTTTTCTTCCACAGAAAGTGAAAGTAGAGTGACATGGTTTTGGGCCCCAGGCAGCTGGCCGTCGTGGGCTCTCTTTGTCTTGCCGCTCACTGTGACTTCATTACTGTGACTTCATTACTTCATTACCTGATACACCTGCAATGTGTGTGCGTGTGCTGGGGAGGCGGGGCGGGAGGTCTCAAAGGCAGAGAAAGGAGTGTGGAGTTCTGTGAAACCCTTGAGTATACATATCTTGTAGAAAACAGAACAGATCTGAGAAAGGCTGTTCCCCAGGATAACTTGTTACGACAATTTCCCGAAGAAATCAGACAGCACTCAGAGAGGTGGACAGAGATTTAATTGTCACACTGGTGGGCTCAGTGGGATAGCTCCCAAAAGTCTGATCCCCAAATTGCAGGAATGATAAGGTTTTATATAGTTTGTATGAGGAAGCTTGTCACCCCATCCATCATAGACTTTATTGTTTGGGAAGGGAGTCAAGGTAGCCGTGGCTACCGCTGTGGGCAAGCGGCACAGCACAGGAACTTTCCGCTCCAGCAAGCAGCAGACTCCAAGCAGCAGACTTAGCAACCTCCTGCATCAAACTGAAGGATGACCCTGTGGACCAGTGGGGCCAGAGGAGAACTGGAGGGTCTGTAGCCCTTCAGGTCCAATACCTTGGTGGCCATGGGCAAGAACACGGGTTCTGAGTTCCAGTGCTGACTGCACCCACTCCCCTGGGCTGTGCATCTTTATACAGGTGATTTTAACTCTCTGGCAGGTTCCTTATCCATGAAATGAAATATAATGTACCCACCACATCGAGTCATGGCCACCAAATGAGAACATATCTTTGACCACATTACCTGACAAGGAGGTAGAGTTTCATGATGTTGCCTTTATTCTTAATACCAGAAAAGTTTAATGATGCTAACTTTCACTCTTAATACTGGAAAAGGCCAGTCTGGAAGCTTTTCATTACATGTCAGCTCCATTTTCTTTAGGTTTCTCCAGCAAGCCCCTAAATGTGGGTCTTGGTAAAAGGCTCACAGTTAATGTTTACAAGTTAGAAAAATGTGTTCTATGTCCTAATCCAAGAAGAATGGGAGGGAGAGCAGGATTTCACCTGAAATCCCAGCTGCTTTACCACTCGTAAGTCAGTCGCCTTCTTCACTTATCCTGTCCCATCCTCTCCTTTAAGCTGGTCTGCTAAGGAAAGCACCAAATCCTACCAGGAGCACAGTAGATGGGAAATAGTCGACATCCATTTGTCTTTGGTTAAGTTATCCCAGAGGCTGATCATGAAGCTGCAGAGAATACCAGAGCTTTATTCCGGAGATGAACCCAGAAAATACTGGTAAGAAAGTGGAGAAGTGGGGGGAGGGGAGGAGAGCAGGGGGAGAGAAGAGAAGAAAAAATAATGAGCAGGTCACAGCTGTGAGCAACTGAACTCAATCCCACTGGTAATCTCTGGGCGCATGTGGGCAGTGCTGTGAAATGTGCTTTAAAATTGTCTCACCCACGAGCTGAGGAATCCAGGGATTTAGACACCAACTTCCAGCGCTCATTGTCTGAGTGCTGCACCAGGAGCTCGCATGCAAGCCCAGCATGCTCCTGTGGCCAGAGTGGCAGATGACTGTTGTAGGAAGCCATCTGGTATGGGGAAGCTGGTTCCAGGAAGACATGGGCAACACCAGCAGCTTCAGCTATGCCATCCTAGAATCACTGAAATTTCAGCTAAACCTTTATATTTGACAAAGGCTATGTATTGGACATTCAGTGATTGCCAAATCTGATGGGATAATTTAGTGTCTTTAGAGCACGGATCTTGGTCTCAAGGGCAATGTGATTTCTGCTTCTTGCTAATAAATCTGCCTTGAATGGAATATCTTTTCTTAAACATTGCTGCAGAGGTGCTCATTCCCTCTTTGATTTACCCATAGAACAAGCCAACATCCGAAGTCTGGGTTTCTGTGTGATAAGCATAGCATCAAGAGCAGCAGTTAATCTTAAGGGTTCACCAAGAACCACAGCTCTTTGGTCAAGGTGACTTGATAGTACTGGACTGACAACTAAAGACTAACTCAATGTGGTGAAGTCTGCTGATACGGGGTTATCATGACAGTGGAACTTCAAGACTCTGCTCTGGGACTTAGTGTTTTAACAATAGCTATCATTCATTGAGCTGTTTCTATGTGCCAGACACTGGGCTCAGGACTTCTCGCCTTTATTATGTCAAGAGTCAAGTGGTGTTATCCTTGTTTTACAGATGAGGATATGTAGGCACAGAGAAACTAAGGAACTTGCCCAAGGTCATAAAATCAATAAGTAGCAATACAGTTGAACTCAGGTCTTAGACTTCAGAACCCATACTTTTAACCACTACCACTAGAGTCCTATTATTTATGTACAGATCTTCTTTTTAATCCTTAACTGCTATGCCCAGCAGAATAGTGGCAGACTGGCTCCCAAGTGGCTGAAGGTGATGGGGGCGGGGGCAGAGAGACTAGCTTTTATTTGTAGCACCTGCCAATTTGTGCAGTGTAAGTACTCCATCATAGACAATTTCAACCTAACAAAGGCTTAACAACAAGTTTACAAAATTCCTGAATATTTAACAGTTGGTTATCACAAGCTGGTTTGAACCAGCTATAATACCCAGCACACCTCTATTGATGCCATACTCCCAAAGATCTTAATTATCAAGATTTCTAGGAAATATTGTTGGATTTGTACCATGCCTAACCATTCCATTCATCAATCTTGTCCCAGCACTCTAGAATGATTAAGGAGATGCAACATTCATTCATTCAACAAACATGAGTGTGGAAGAAGAATGAGGGGTGTGGAGGTGATTAAGGCACAGTTCTGATCTGTCATAGATTTAGCTCCCTAGACAAAGATTTGAGTGACTTACTAGGAAGTAACAGGAACACTTGTAGGTTGGGGAAAGAGAGTGGGCCAGTGTGGGTATCCAACCAAGTATCCTAGAGGGTGCCTTTGAGTCAGGCCTATTAGGGGAACTCTGGAAAGAAGGCAGGGTACACTCTCAGCATGTTGATGGGGGAGGGGGTGGGAACCCAAGGTTAGTATTTAAACTTCCTACCCTTACCCATTAGTCATTACCTAAGTGTTGTCCCCTGAAGGACATGCATTTTCTGGTACTTTCAGCTCTCCTCTTGTATAGGCACAGCTGGTTTCTGCAGCCCCATCAAATAACAAGTGAAGGCTGATGGGAAAAGGCACATCTGGAACCCAAGTACCTGAAAACAGTCAAGGGGTCTGAGGATGTGGAGCCTGAACTCCTACTTTCCAATCATTCACTCAATTAGCATTTACTGAGTAGCTGCCTTGTGCTGGGCATTCCCTGGGATTCAGGGGCTAGAAAGATAAGCACAAACACCCAGATTCCTGTTCTCCTGAGATAAATGACTTAAGGAAAAGTATAGGGTCATGGGAGGGTGTATATGAAGCTAGACTGAAAATGAAAGTACCCCTCTCAGTTTGACAGGGAGACTCGGCTTTTTCTGTGCATTATGAAATAGTGTGCAGGTAAATGGCTAGTTCTAATTTGTCTTTATTTCCCCCCCAGACACTTGAAGGTGTCTGCAAAAACTGTAAGTAACACAAAACCACAAATTGCTTATTCTGATTAAAAGTTCATGGAATATACATAACTCCCCCAAATTATGTTGTTGTAATTATTGCTATCCCAAGCTCTGCACATAACTCTAATCATTTATAACTATCCAATATACACTTATTCATGTAAATAACAGAAATAATTGGGAAAAATTCCACACTTTTTACTACTATGAAGACTATAGGTTCTAAAGTCTGTGTGAAAACTTGACTGGATTACCTAATTAGCTGTGTATTCTTGGGTAAATAGTTTAATCTCTCTGTGTGTCTTACTTTCTTCATACTTGCATAGAGAAATAGTACTGACCTACTGTGAAGATTCTTTCATGAGGAATAAAGGGATATAAAATTATGTTTTCAAACTGCTTAGTATAATCTCTGGGTACTGCTAAACACTACACTTAAACACTTATATTTAAGGTAGCTGTAACTTATATTATTGGATATTATATTTGACATGAAAGGATATCTTTGATACTTTTTAAGTGAAAAAGTGAGTTTATGCATAAAATAGTGTGAATAGATGTTCTCCAGCTTCAGTCTCAGAATTCTATACCTTTAAAATTGTAGGACTCAAGGATCATTTTTTAAAATCATGGGTTGAAAATATTTATTAATTTAATTAAAGCAGCATTACATGTCAACATACTGCCTTAACTCAGGCTACCTCACTGTAACAAAGTACCATAGCCTGAGTGCTGATAAATAACAGAAATTTATTTCTCACAGTTCTGGAATCTGGAAATCTGAGATCAGGATGCCAGCATGCTTGGGTTCTGGTGAGAACACTTTTCTGTGTTACAGACTTCTGACTTCTTGTTGTATCCTCACATGTCAGAAAGACTAAACACCTTTGGGATCTCTTTTATAGGGGGAACTAATCCCATTCATGAGGGTTTCACCTTCATGACCTCATTATCGCCCATATCCTAATACCCTTGCCATGAAGATTAGGATTTCATACATAAATTTGAGAAGATACATTCTGTCCATAACTCATCTATACCATATTTTTATGAAAAAAACACTATATTCTGGATCAAGAAATAACTAAAAAAATAGTTTTATTATCTCTTATTTTAGCAGATCTTTTTAATGTTGGTCTTAGTTGAAAATAACCACATTGTCTTATTTGTTTTTTATCCCATATGTTGTGATGTATTGTTTTAGCTGTAGTATATGAAAAAAAATCTAGCTTCACACAGATGGAAAAGGAGAATTTTTTCAGCTTTATTGAGGTATAATTGACAAATAAAATTATAATATATTTAAAGTGTATACAGTGCAATGATTTTTTTGGCTTTTTCTTTTTAAAAAACTATTTATTTATAAATAGTTGTTCAACAATTTACATAATTGTTCATTTTTGCACAATGTTTGCTTTCTTTTCTCAGATGTATTACCCATAGAATTTCCACCACCAATTCACCCATGCATCATCACCATAGTCCCTTGTGTAAGAACACATTCTCTCCCCTGTTTTGATCCCGCTACCTACCCCTCCCCTGCAGAGTGTCTTTGATTAATAGTTACCTGTTAACTTTGTTTTTTAGTTTATTATATTTTTTTGGAAAAGGAGACTTTTAATAGCCTTTTTAGGTAATTTTGAAATTATACCAAAATTCAACAATTAAAGCTTTATTGCAATATGAAATATTAATTGCAATATGAAATCCAAAAAGAGATCAGTCAACTTTTTATAGTGGATTATAGTAAAATCAATTGGTCTTTATTGTGTTTTATCCAGTTGTGATTTTGTAACAACATACTATATACAGCAATCATTTGGAAAACATTAGTTTACTGTGTTCTGAAATCTTTCACATATTGATAGGTTTCATTCCACAATACCAAAGGTCACGTTAGTTGATATCAACTTTGAGCTCATCAGAAAAGTCTTGAAGCATAGGAAAACTGTCAGCACACAGTGAAAGATCTAGGTTTTCCAAAATTCCAATTTTTGTCCAAAAAGTAAAAATTGTCTTTGGCAACAAATACTATCAATTATTTTCCTGGAAATGAGAGGACACTTCATTAATTTTTAAGAAACTGTCTGCCAAATACTCGAGAATGAAACCAAAACTATTCTGTCATACTTTCAAGCAAAAACAGTTTTCCATGGAAAATGTGGCTAGTTTGGCTGGCAACTTAAATGATTGGGCAAAAGATTTTCCTTCAGACAATCTTCATATGCAAACAGGCAGCAGAAGTGCTTTGTATAGACTTTCCATTCCATCACAAAGAACATTGGAAAAAATGTTTTCTTAAGGGTAAAAATTTAATAAAATTAATCATTTGCAATGCTTTATCTGGGAGAATCTTTAGAAAAATCCAGTTTCACTTTTTTAAAGAACATGACACTGATACACATTGGTACCACTACCTTGATTTGTGCTAAGGCACTAACCCAATTGCTTTTGCAACATCAATGCAAATAATACAGTGAAAAAGGCAAATAATGTGCTAGTACTATGATGAAAATAACTTCAACCCAAGGACTCTTGAAACAGATCTCAGGACCTTAAGGTTTGGTCTGAAAATCACACTTGAGAAGTGCTGGCTTAGAAGAATCATTGAAGCATTTATTTTGAGGAAGAGGCATGTGAAACTAGGGACAATAGTGGTGGTGGTGTGGGAGGTAGTAGGTTTTTTTACTTCTGACTTAATTGTAGTTTTTACATTAATCATGTTATCAAAAATAAAAGGTATTACCAT